AGTTTTGAAAGTTTAAATAATTATAAAATTTTATAAGAAAATTCTACAACAATTAAAACAGAAGAAAGAAAAGTTTCCTCCTTGCAAATCACAATAAACCATGGAAGAAGTGACACTAACAGATACAAAGCTCTCATGATAACTACCGAATAAACCAAACTGTCTATTTCTTAGCATAGGTGATGAGCATTGGGTTTTGCTCAATCTTGAAACCTTGAAGTCCATGCATTGCAACCGTTGACTGCATCTCGTCTGCAAACTCCACAAAGGCGATACCCGGTTTGGCTTCAACCATCCTAACCTCCTTAAAACCTGGGTACTGGGAGAACAACACCTGAAGCATCATTGGAGCTGTCTCATGAGGAAGGTTTTGGACAAAGAGGATATTATTTGGCGGTGCCGGTGCCTCGGGAAGATTGGGTTTCACACCACCAGGGTATGGTACTTGTGAAAGCTGTGAAAAGCAATAAGAACAAGGATTAGAATACAGAGAAAAGAATAAAAGGAATCTCCTAGAAGCATGAGTGTGAGAAAGAGAATGAGCAGAATCAAGATTAGAGTTAAAGAAAGTAACTCACAGGAGGTGTAACTCCATAGCCACCTGGATATGCCGAGTTCATGGCCATGCCCATCTGCGTAGAATCATGATGCTGTTCTTTCTTTTTCTTGCCTCCTGCAATTCCAAAGACAATTTTTAGATGCAACAACCAACTATTTATACAGGTTAAAGAAGCAAAGATATATCTCATAGTCATGAATAATAATACAGGGCTTCACATAGTATATGCATGCGATGTGAACAACTGCAGATATGTGGGAATGAGAAAACAGAACAATAAATCTACAAGTAAATTTGCAGCAACAATCCAAGTTAGCCAAGGAAGCAATGAAAAAATACAAAAACTTCAAACTCTCACCTTTCTCCTCGTGTCTCTTCCTTTTCTCGCGAGGAACAAATGTACCATCCGCCTTGGCAACAACATCTGATTTTGTTTTCGCAAATTGTATTCTCTGCCAAGATTGCCAAAGTTAAGTGATTGATAAGCAAAATTCACAGCAAATTTCAAAAAGGGGATAAACTATTCCACAACCTAAAACTCCAATTTCTTCAATAACCCAAAAGCAACCACAACACTTAAAAGGGC